CCCACCGAGTCAACCAGGCTCGGCGCCGTATTGGTGCGACGGCTCAAGGTGAGTCAGCCCGCGCCAGCCTGTTGGCACTGGTACGGCCAATTCATTCGTCGCCGTATAGAAGCTGACTCAGAATTCCTCATCCCACAGGCCAGAGTACGACTCCAGGCGGACACAACGTTCGGTCTCTGTCGTTAGGGAGCTCGAATCTTTCTCTCTTCCCGTCGTTCATGTCTGTCGCGGGGGAGGGGAGGATAGAGCCGCCGCGCGTCTGATTACCACAGCGTAACAGATAGATTCCGGGGTATCTTCTAGTTTATACTCTCAACATCATGGAGGTGAGACATTGACTTTGCTTTTCTTCTACTTCTTCCGCCCATTTCTTTGCTTATGAATCAAAACACTGCCCGAGCTGGTATTGCCCAGTGGCACAAAAAACACCGCCGCGTATCATCGCCGACTCTTTTTCGGGAAGGTTACCATAATCCGCCAACAGCTACGGGTGTCTGTGCCAGCCGGATACCTTTCCTGCTGGTATATCCTTTTTTCTTTCTTTCCTTACATGCCGCACCTGATACGCGGTCATGTTGTGTAGTCGTCATATCAGTTCCAAATACATTGCCGCCATTGTTATTTTTATTTCCTATTAGGCAGACGTCAGTCAAGCACGGGCCCAATGTTGCAAAGGGAGAGATGATTATGACTTGATTATCATCCGTTCGAACTTTCTAGACGGGATCCCGACTCGTTTGATTCGTGCAACGGTGAGATCAGCAATGAAATCTCCTCGCTCCTCCTTACGGATCATCAGGAGCAATATGCCCTGTTTTGATCGAGAAGCCTATCCCAGTTCCGTGGCCTTTTCCCGCTGTGAGATTTGATATATCCCCCCGGTCGACTTCGCCTACCTGCAGCCACCCATTCGTCGCAATATTTTGGGCGCTGAGATCTTGCATTTATCTTCCCGGGCCCGTGGACTCGGCAACCTCGTTTGCAGATTGGCTCGCTCGCTGAATTTTAACCGTGTCGACGAACCACAAAGAAAGAGCCCACGACAATTCCAAGTCGTCCAGAATTCACTAGCAACAGCCGCTCTCTCGTGTCATTCAGCAGAGATGAACCAAGGAAGACTATTACATCCGTACAAGGGGCACGCCTGCTCCAATCGGCTCGATCCTTAGTGTATCTAGGCCTGATATCCCCATTGACAAGCGTCCCTCTATCTCTTTCCCTCGCTTAGTTCGTGCTATCGCTATGTCTTCTCGGCTTCGTGGTTTAGACGCGTTCGATCCCGAGGGTGTCCAAGAACAGCTATACGGGACACAGTTTGGTCCTTCCAGCCCAGCGCAGCAGGCTCTGACGCATTTATATGAACAGGATTCGAGACAACGAAAAAATGGACCGAGGGCGCACGAGCAACCTCTGGATCTGTCCGCAAAAGGAAAACCTAGATTGCTTCTAATGGGGCAGAGAAGGTACGTCGTCAGATGTTGGATGTTGGATGGGGAGACTGATTTTTTCTAGGAGTGGCAAGTCGTCAATATCGAGTGTGGTGTTTCATAAACTACCGCCTAGCGAGACATTATTTCTCGAATCAACGGCTCGCATTCAGAAAGATACCATGCCGTAAGCACTCGTGGACATACCGAATTTGATTCTTCTAACTCGTACTCAGTTCTTTCATGGACTTCCAAGTGTGGGACTTCCCTGGTCAAATCGATATCTTTGATAATCCAACATTCGATATCGATGCCATGTTCGGCGAGATCGGGGCCCTGATTTGGGTTATCGATGCTCAGGATGACTACCTGGAGGCTGTAGCACGTCTTAACGTGACTATATTGAACCTCCAGAGAACATACCCTAACATCAAAATCGAAGTATTCATTCACAAGGTAGACGGCCTATCGGACGACTACAAATTAGATATCCAACGTGATATCACGATACGAATCCAAGACGAACTCTCGGATCACGGTTTCGAGAATGCTCCCGTCACATTCCATCTGACTAGTATCTACAACCACAGCATTTTCGAAGCATTCAGCAAGGTGATCCAGAAACTCATCCCTCGACTAGGTATACTCGAGGCGATGCTTACCAACCTCTGCCGTACCTGCCGTTTCGAGAAAGCTTACCTCTTCGACGTCCTGTCCAAGATATATATTGCTACTGACAGTGAACCTGCGGACATGGCCAGCTACGAGATCTGTTCCGATTATATCGATGTCATAATAGACGTCACGGAAGTCTACGGTAGTTGGCCCAGGACTCAGAGGTACCGCGAAGCCCTAGAAGGCCCGCCGTGGAACCAAAAGATAGAAGACCAAGTGGCGTCGGGTTGCGCCGAGAGCTGCATGGTGTTGAGTGATGGGAACAAACCCATAATACTACGCGAGGTCGACAAGTACCTTGCACTGGTTGCGATCATGAAGGAAGACAGCTACGACAAGATGCCTCTTGTGAATATGAACGTCGAGGTTGTCGTACAAGGGGTAAAGGAATTTTTCGAGATCACAAAGCCGAAATAAGCAACAGCCCAGGGTGTGAGATGGGTCTATGGCCTGGGACGGTATAATTCGTCGCAGAAGTAATGTTTAAGATTGAGTAGGCGGAGATTTATTCAAGAGTTGATGAGCCGCAGTCTCGGGGTCGAGATATCCAGCTGCGTACATCGTATCATCCTGGCATGGGTGACCAGCTATGAGGAAGACTGGATGTTAACACCAATTCAGTTGGTTTTCAGATTCGTTGAGGCATCTCAATTCTCAAAGAGGTTATTATTCAACTCATTAAGTAACATTGTGAATTAGTGCTTCGTTTCTGAAATATCTCGTATCGTCGACCAGGGCTTGGTAAGTTACATTGCTGACGCCACCAATCACATGAGTAATCCAACCGCGTGAGCGCGCATGGTGCAAATATAAACATCACCAATCGTCGATTAAAGCGAATATGAACTTTAAGACTCGGCCTCAAAAGATGAGTAGTGTTTTGCCTATAGGAAGGAGGCCAGTCTGAGTCCAATTGATTAGGAGGGACTTCGACTCACCCGAATAACGACACGATCAAGTGAGGTCTCGGGCTTAAGCTCAGGCTCAATACCGACGGTTCGACATGCGCGGTCCATTCCTATTACTCGGCCTCGCAGCGGCGGTAGCCACCGCAGACCTAAGCCAGTTCGCACTGCAGAAGGTCTTACAGAACGGACGGGAAGTCTTCGGCGACACTACCAGCGACAGCAATGCGTCATCATCACCGTACAAGAACTGGATGTCCAGCATCCCAGACTCCACACCCCTCTCGCAACTCAACATCCCCGGCCTCCACGACCCCGTGACGTGGAACTACACGCAGGCCACGCAGGATGCCCTGTCCTACGCCACGCGCTGCGACGGCGTCACGCCCCAGGCCCCGCGCGTCTACCGCTGCCAGCGCCGTGGCATCACGCACGCTCTAGACGCTGGGGTCCGGTTTTTCGATCTGCGGTTCGCGCTCGACCCGCTGGATCGCGATCTTGTGTTTTGGCATGGGCCTGCGCTGGTCTCGGCTCAGGCCACCGTGCCTGATGTCCTGTTCGCCTTTTTCGACTGGTTGGACAGACACCCGACGGAGGTTGTGCTGCTTAGTTTCCAGTATGAGGGCGGTACTAAGGCGGATGCTAGTTTCGATGCTAGGGCTCAGGAATTGCTGTTTAATGCCCTGACGCAAGGGCCGGCGCGCGCGTATGTGGGGAGAGGTGTTGGGAGGTTGGGTACGCTGGGGGAGAATAGGGGGAAGATTGTTCTGCTCCGACGGTTCGATATGCAGGAGCAGGCGTACGAGGACGCGCTGCCGGGTCTGCATCTGAGTCCGGCGCAGTGGCCGGATAACGAGCCGGATGGGTTTGCGCTGGTGTATAACGAGACGACTAACGCGACGGCATTCGTCGAGGACTACTACGAGCCCGTGGGCCTGGCGGCGAATTCGTCGGTGCCGGAGAACGTCGCTGCGAAAGTTGACGCTGTGCGCACGCATCTGCGGAAGGCGGCTGCGGGCGATGCCGATGGCTTGTTTATCACGTTCGCGTCCGGCGAGCATAATGTGAATGACCCGCCTGTGTTCCCCGAGACGATGGCGCTTGGTAATGGGACTGAGGTGACGCCTGATGGCGGCGTGAACCACCAGCTTGCCTCTATACTGAGGGGGATGTGTGGGAGCAGGCTAGGTGTCGTGGTCTTGGATTTCTTTGATGAGCCGATGGATCTGGTTGGGCTTATATTAGGTATTTAATCATGTTCAGATAGAAGTCTGCTTCATCATCGCATTGCGAGCTATAGATGCCGCGGTAATAACGTCCAGCGACCTGCGGGTCTGTCTGAGTGCTGTGAACAATCTGAGGCGATTCAGGGGTTTACAAGATTGACAGAAGAACAACGGTGATGAACCCAATCCGCAATCCATTCTCTTTATGCATGGAGCTAGTGAATGGCTTTTTTCTATGCTTGTAGCAGTTGATCATAAGTTATTATCTGAGTCTAGTTTACATAATTTACAGAATGGCTTAGTTGACGTACTGCGAACACGACCACGGTGGACGATTGACAGGACGTCTATTGCCTCTTAAGGTCTCATACAATCCCAGTTCTAAAGTCGATGTAAGGGCATGATCGGGCATTTATCTGAGCCGAGAGTATGGATGCCGTTTGTCAATTGCTTCAAGTTCACCAATTTCCTTCCCTCGGGTATCGTGAGAAACTCTGGGTGGTCAAAATTAACACTCAGGGGAGATTCATTCCTATGCTAGAGCTTGTACATACCACTCATTAACCAGAGACATTTAGAGCTCTCCGTAGATTCGTAGACAACTTGACTATGTTTTACTGCGATGGTGCTTAAAGGCTTTCCTCCCTCGCTATCGCATCGATTGAAGTAAAATTGATATCCATATTGAAAAGGGAGTGACAAACATCCTAACCACGCCAACTTCAAACATGGAGTATATCATATAAAATAATATAATATTCCACCAAGGCCCGGTAGTGTAATGGTAATACACTCCAAGAAGATCCCAAGTCTCGCTATCCTCTGACTTGCTAGCTTGCTTACCAAAGAGTGTTTGTCTATTGGCTGTACTCTTACTGAGCTTTGATTGCTTGCTAGTAGCTACCTACTATCTGACTGGCTACTGGTTGTTTGCTCCTGGCTGTTTGCTAGGGTTCTGCCACCTTACTGGATACTAGCTGAGGATGGAAATTCTGGAGAGTTGCAGGTTCGAATCCTGCCTGGGCTATTCTTTTTGGCCTTTTCTTATTTTTTTAATACTTTCAATGGCAGACTGGTATGAGGAAGTAATGAGTGGATGTTTCTAAGCAACTCAGGCCAGGTACCACAACGGAGACCTCGCATTCGCTTGAAGGAGATTATTTGCCTAACGCTGTCAACCGGCCAAGTTCGGTGGTGAGGTACAGTCACGCCCACGATCGAGGACGGTGATAGCGTATAGATCGAATCCAAGTCATGCCTGTGTAACAAAGGCTAAGGAATTAAGGAAGAAAGGAAGAGAGGACGTAACAGCGTCCAATGTTTGAAGCATCATGCAGTCAGCATGACGATTTGTTGGGGAATTCTCGATCACAGCCTGATTCAGCAGCGCTCATTCCGGGCCATGTCGCCCGATTCCGACAAGGAGTCCACCGGACCCTACCAGCTGTAGGATGACGATATTCAAATCTTCCGCGCCTCGACATCCTTGACTGCTAAAGTCAGAAGATCCATTTCGAGTTCCACAAGGAGAGTCGAATAGGAAACAATTGTCATCATAGACTTGAGATTTCTAAGCGTACAGTCAGAAGCATCGTCGAAGAATCGAGAGATAGCGTTGCAGAATGTAGCGCGTGGAACCGGCTCGGTCCGTTTAATGATTGATTTCCTGAGAAAGGGTATCAAGCCTTTATATTAAACTTCTAGATACGCCGTGGTATTTGGAATTCATCCAACCACAGACTATAGGTCCGGTAGTGATGCAGCGGCCCGGGTCACCGGCTCAATGGCCAGGGGCAAAAATAAATACTCTGCTAGCAAGCGCCGTTAACTCCAGAGAATTGAAGCGAGAGCCTCCCAGCCGTATGCATATCAATGTCGTATCGAGTTACCAGCGAACATCGGACGCCAAGCATATATGGGATTGCATACAGATGGGCTGCTTTGAGTATATCTGCACAGAATGCCAAGGTTTATAAAAAGATCACGTTGCGTTGCTTATGAGATTGTGCATAGCCAAGCATATCTTCCTTCGCTGCTAGAAACAGGGTCCATTTGGCTACTCGAGGGATGTCACGACAGGGACAATGAGCGGTGCTGAGTCAGATCTCAGGCCTCGAATGGTTCGAGACCGTCCTACCTTCGATTCATAGGTTAGTTTCGAGTGCCTGACCCATGGCGTTAGGTCTTAAGAGTAGCATGTTTAATGAATGAAGGCTGCAGAGAAATCCTCTCCTGTGTAACGGCTGTAGTGGTTGCTATCGAGTTCTAGGGACTCGCAGGGAGACTCGCAGTATACGATGGGGTGGTATCGAATGCGGTATTTCGAAAATAGTCTACTTCATACATAGAATCTGACTATGACTAAAAGGATTCTCTTGATAGGACGTCCATGGGTGTACTATCGACAGACTCCAGTAAGAACCTAATAAGATTAACAGTTGTAAGCACCAGGCGTTGAAGTTGGATTTGCAGATGCAGCCTGGAAACCGGGGTTAAGGCCAGAGGAACAGGAGTCTAGAAGATTATGTAAACTTCAAAGCTAACTCGTTGTGGGATAGACATAAACCCCCTTCTAATTCGGAGACGCCACTTACGTATAGTACCGCAGCGCCGGTTGATATTCGCCGGGTATTAAGCCGCATTCACGACACACATCGGACTTTGTCGCCGGCCACGATAAACACCGACTGCATTTTAAGATGTGTAAGTATACAACGTTTAGGTCATTGTGATCTCATTTCCCCAGCCAATGCTTTTGTCTCTGCCCAAGTTAGCCTTCAAGAGATTAATAATCCTGTGAGGAAGAAGCAAGTCCTTAATGATGATGTACAGTTTATAACCCCTGGATAGCACCAATCGTGGTGAACTATTGGAGTTGGGGGTGGTCAGATTGTACGCAACATCCTCGTTCGAATGCAGCCTCGGATTCGCGTACTTGTCTGACCCTTGGGGGTATCATCCTCCAGACATACATACTATTATTGTTGATCGCGACGAAGCTCTGATTCTAACCGGACAAAAGAACCTAGTCTGCTAATGTACCAAGGGTGTGCATTCTTTTAGGAATCAAGATACTGAGTTAAGTAAGGAACTTCGGCGTTGTTGATTTTGAGTGATTAGATAGGTGAAGCTGCGCCGCAGGATGACATTAGGGGCCCGGCCGGAACGGTCCTTGGACGGCCCGTCTAGTGGCCAATGCGCAAGCGTGACCGAATAAGGTATTGGAAGTACTTACCTAAGTGGGTTTTTATATGATTCCAAATGTTAATGTTAAACTCATTCTTCTTCTAGAACAGCGCATTATCGTCTACATGCCTGAGTGCATACTTAGGCACGTAACGTTATATCATAATCTCCATCTCGGAATTAAGAGACGCGAAGACGCGAAACACGTATACACGTGACGACGATGGCCCTCCCTTGTTAGAGCCTAGTTTACGAAATCGTTAGATGTAAGACGCTTCTGGCGCCCACTACATCAGTCCATCACCGCACGCTGCAGGCTAAGTCACCATTACGCGTCTTCTATTGGATACAGATGGGACTGCCGAGCAGACCGGGTGTTGTACCGAGACTCTATCAAAAATTTGCAACGATAACCCACCGGAGACAGTCAAGATCATGTCGTCTTGCGTCATACGGGAAGCACTGGTTTTATTAACGAGACATCGGTTTAATCTACTTGCCACTCTCGGTTCGCTTTATCCCATCACTACCTTATATCCACGGCTCGTCGTCTACAGAATGAAACACGTGGGAATCATTACTTCAAAGAGCCGTCCGGATTGTATAGACCGCCCGGAGTTTCCATGGCGGGCAAGGGGCAGACAAGGCCTGCTAACCTACCATTGTTACCCGTCCAAGTCTCCATTCAATTTCATGCAAGTGCCGAATTTTTCACCATCTTTGCAGGGGTCCTGCCCGTCATCGCAACGACAGGACCGACGAGCTTGACCTCTTAGACCTTATCGATACTTGAACGTCTGCTATATTCACGATATCCCACCCAGGATCCAAGTGGCAATCCAACGTTGATTCTACCAAAATGTAACACGCAAACCACCCCATGCGGTTGATGACCACGATGCCAATGCAACTATACATGGGTTTCAGTGGTTTGTGCTACCCGAAGCCGAGCTCTATCCCGACTTGTCTTAATAAATCGCCTGATAGCATTACTAAACACTAAACCGACCAGCCACTCTGAGTCGATGTGGATGGTGATATCTCGGTGTAACACAAGAGTGTTGCCTTTCCTCTTTCCCTTCCCACCTAACCTTTGAGTTGTTTGCTGGCAATTTCTGCTAAGCTACAGTACCTATGAAGCTCGTTGGTCATGCTCGGTCAAGCTCGGCCAAGACAATTTATCTTGGCTCTGACGACCTCCTTTTCTTTTTTTAGCTACACCCACGGTTGTTGGTAGGCGAGCTGCATGCATCTTCAGGAGCCCCCACATCCGGATCACGACATCCAAGAACTATTGTACCTGACAGCTGTGATTAGACTTACATACGACAACTTAACACAAATGATAATATAGCCCTTTTCATAACATTGGCTTCTCAGAAATGGCAGGTCATTCTCACTCTTCTGGGTGGTGCCCTGGCATAAGCAAAAAGAAAAGCGTGTCGTCCACACTAGCAAGGTCGGACAAGCTAACCAAACGGTCTGTGGCCTTGTTATTGCGGATCTCTGTGTTCGACAATCCAATATTTGCACGAGAATCCGAGAGTGGCTGTTATTTTCTTCCGATATGTATACCCCTCATAAGCCTCTAAGCTAATACCGTCTTATGACCGTCGGGAACGCCCGCTAGTCTTGATGACTGTAATGAGGCTACAAGGCGGTTGCTCAGCAGGCACAGTAGAATAGCGTGATGCCATTCTTTGTCGTATGGGATAGGACTATTCCATAGGTCATCACATCACCGCCAAGTAGTTAGAGAGAATTCATCTCACCTACCTCCCCTGTCATGCACGAGATATCGTTCCCCGAGTCTAACCCTGCTGCAAGCGCTTGAAGATGCAGACTTTCCGCCGTCCTGGTACTGCTCGACTTTCATCTACCCGCGAATTCTAGGACGTGTCGAATCATATTTCCTGTTCCTGACATCTACATGTACTGCAAGCGTCGATTCCATCGTTACAGGGGTCTCGTCACGTCTATCAAGGCATGGGGCTCGGGCATATTAACTATATCCGACCCTGACTTACGATTATCTTCAACCCTACTGGTAGCCACCCTCAGCTAGTGACCTTTTTTTTGTGGATATGGTCTTGGCCTGCAGATGAAGGGTTGAAGGAGTGCTGATGAATACCGGGCAATGAAGGGATGTAAGTGGGCTAAAATGTTTGTAATAACACTTCTGATTCCTGAGAATAACTCCCACACCAGAGCCTCAAGCAAACGGTCGACTCTTTGTTTTAGGTAAGTCCGTCCCTTGTTTACTCTATTCGTTATAAACACCGCATGAGACCCTCCCTCGTTTACGAAGCCGTGTCTCTCTACATATTAGTCTCCCTGCCCTCTCCCGAGTTTCCGTCTTCCAATTTACATCCTGAAGGAACTGGGATAATCAACCAAGACAATATGGGCCGCATTCTTACCTCCACTGCCCTTCTTGGGCTCGTAAGCCTTGTTACCGCTGCTGGTTGCCCCTTTGCCAACCCTGGTGCTCTACACTCTCGAGCCGAAGGAGATGACCCAGTCCTAGCGGCTATGGTCGATGACAGCACCGGGTACTTTACTGACGACGTAGGCGGGCAGATCGGAGAGCAAGACAGTCTAAGAGCTGGTGATAGAGGACCTACTCTGCTAGAGGATTATATATTCAGAAGCAAGATCCAGCACTTCGATCACGGTGCGTTTTCATTCTTATACTAATTTGGAAACCCCTTCTAATTAGGTATAATTAGAGCGAGTAAGTTGGACTACATTTCCTTCCATTGCCTGCTCCACTTAGCTATGAGAAGCTCACACCTCTTATTTACGAGCGAATACATGAGTATAATGAGAAATGTATTAATA